ATTTTCTGAGCAAATACGAGAGGGCAGCAGCCCTAAGTGGAAGGTCCGACTCCTAGCAAGCTAAGCAAATCAAAACCGTACATGGGAAAACATGAAAACAGACTTCTCGAAGGAGTTTAGCGGAGAACAACCGCTAAGAAAATTGAAGTTCAGGTTGAATACGAGAAGACAACAGGAAAATGAGGATATCAAGCACTTCTACTTCGAATTATACGCCCTAGCTTATGAGATAGACCCTAAAATGCCCTTCGAGACTTTTACGCACCACTTCAAGAATGGCCTTCACTCATCGTTCTACGAAACTTACTACCTCATGAGTTCAGGAACGATGGACCACGCCAAGTTGAGAACGTTAGTCGTGAAATTGAGCGAGGTAAAGGAACGCACCTTGATACAACAAATGACTGATCAGACCAGCCTACTAACATTGGACGAGCGAAAGGGCGGTAATTCAAGCGATTTTCAAGGCACGGCTGGGCACATAAAAAACTCTGGAGAAAATTATGAACATAATGAGAGAAATTCTAAAAAATTTGAGGGAAGTTATGGTTACAAAAAAGATTACGAACCAAGAAGGCCCTACAACAGGAATAGGGCATACCACAGAGACAGATCAAACGATCAGGACCGATACTGAAGGAACTACAACCCTAACTACCACCAAAAGAATAGACAATTCCCAGAAACAAGAAACCACGACGGCAGACCAAGATGTCGAGATTGCGGTCAAAACGGACATTATAAATGATACAAAACGTTCCAAAATTACGGCCAACAACGAAGAGTTTCTTTTTCCCGAGAGAATTCGCCGGCCCCAAACGACCAAGGGCGACTCCACTAGATAGTCCCAACGGAGTCGTCCTGCAGATAGGGGCTGCACATAAAATTTTAATGATATGGGGTCTGGTGAACAACCGGCCCAACGTAGAAATAGTCTTAGATACTGGATCAAGTCGATGTATAATCGAAAAATCGTTGATTGACAAAATCATACCGTCAAATGAAGGGATCTCTTGTGTGACCGTGGGTGGCAATAGAATTTCCCCTTTGGGAATCTCGGAGGCTAAACTCACAATAGGGAAGATAGCCGGATATATAGAGCCATTAGTGGTAGAAAAACTCCCGAAACCCTTAATTTTAGGCACGGATTTCTTGTTAAAAAATAACGCGATAATTGACTTTGGGCTAAGAAAGGTCCATTTGAGAAATGGAGAAGCTTACGCCACCCTACATTTTGAAGATAGAAAAGAAGTAATAGCTACCATACAGGAAAAAAGGTTAACTGATCAAGAAAGGCAAATAGTTGAGCTCCCTCAGGAGCTTCCACAAACTGAATCCCCGGAGGGTATATTAAAAATCTGCGCGGGCGAGGATTGAACTTTCAGGCCCAATTAACCGGCCACGATAAAAGTGGACATAAAAGGCCAGGTGAAAATGAAAGAGGAACCCCTAAAAGACATGGACTTTGTCGAATGCGACCGCACACTGAGGTCGAAGGGTTTACTCTGCCTAAAACCCCCATATCTAATGGGAGAACACTACGTTGCGAACGTAGTAACGAAAAAGCCTTACGGTGCAAAACTGTACAAGGGTGCCACTATAGGATACTTACAAGAAAAATCAGGGCAAAACTTAGAAAACTACCCAGTAATGTTCGTGGAGGAACACGACGACGACGAAAAAGTTACAATGAGGGACCACAGTATAGGACACATACAAGACAGCGACATTAAGCAACAACTCGAGGACTTATTAATGGAATATGATGATGTTTTTCAAAAAGCCCAAAATACATTGGCAGAACGGACCTCATTGAGCACGTAATTGACGATGGCGACGCCAGTCCAATAGAACGAAGAGCGTATAGGGTGTCCCAAAAAGAGAGAGAGGACATCGACGAGCAAATCAAAGACATGCTGAATTATGGAATAATTCGTCCAAGCCATTCGGCATGGGCAAGCCCGGTAGTGTTAGTTAAGAAAAAATCGGGCGAGATAAGATTCTGCGTAGACTTTACCAGACTTAACGATGCAACTAAGGCAAAATCGAATTGGCCTATACTTAACATTGATGATATTTTAACGTATCTAGGGAACGCACGGTATTTCTCCTCTTTGGACATGTTTAGTGGTTTTTGGCAGATTAAAATTAGAGAAGACTCGAAGAAATATACGGCGTTCCAATGCCAGGGTCATGGATTATATGAATTCAACGTACTATGCTTCGGTCTTTGTAATGCCCCTGCCACGTTTTAGTCCTTGGTCGACAAAGTTTTTCACGACATGAAGTGGAAGGAGATTTTGGTATATCTAGATGATATTATAATATTCTCAGAAACACTCGAGGAGCATATAATCAAGTTACGTAGGGTATTTCATAGACTTAGAGAAGCCGGATTAACATTGAAGCCAACAAAGTGCAAGTACATACAAGGAAAAATAGACATTTTAGGATATACGGTTTCCGAAGACGGACTACTCCCAGACGAGGAAAAACTTGTGGCGGTGAAAAATTTTCCTCAGCCTAAAAGCGTTAAAGACGTCCAAAGCTTCTTAGGTCTGTGCAATTACTACAGAAAATGTATTGAAAATTTTTCGAAAATAGCCCAATCCTTACTAGAAAGGCTACAGGATTTACATGGGAAGAAGCCCAAAAAATGGCTTTCGAGACTCTGAAGGAGAAATTAATTACGACGCCGGTACTTGCTCATTATCAACCAAATAAAGGCTGCGAGTTAAGAGTTGACGCATGCACTGAAGGCATCGGAGCAATTTTACTACAGGAGGATAGCGATTGCAAATTACACCCAGTAGCTTATGCGAGTCGTAGCTTGTCAAAGGCAGAAAGGAACTATACTATTACGGAATTAGAAGGACTGGGTGCTATATGGGCGTTACAATATCTACTGCGTTTAATTTACGGGAAATCGGTAAGAATCGTTAGCGATCACCACGCACTTTGTTGGTTGAAATCACTCAAAGACCCAACGGGAAGGCTGGCAAGGTGGAGTATCAAGTTATCGGAGTTCGATTACACAATAATTCACAAAAGTGGTGTAGCCCACAAAGACGCAGATTGCATGAGTCGCTACCCAGTTTCACAACCAACGGAGCAGGATGAAATAGGCGAAATCCCAACATTCATCATGGACCAAGAAGAAATCGGCAAATTCCAACAAGAGGATACGGAGACTAATAAAATCATCGAGGCACTTGGAAACCCAAAAAATGCCCCTATAGGACTACGAAAAAGAGCGAAAGCCTTTAGGCTGATCGACGGAGTCCTTCATAAAGTAAATCACAATCAAACAGGAAGGGAATATCTTCTAGTCATACCTAGAAACCTTGTCGGCGAAATTATGTATTCCCATCACTCCGAACCAACAGGAGGACATTTAGGAGTAGTAAAAACAATCGCAAAAATAAAGGAAAGATTTTATTGGGATAGACAACAGAAAGACATAAAGAAATTTATCAAAGGATGTCCGGATTACCAAGCACGAAAAGGGCAACAGCATAGAAAACCAATAGGCTTATTACACCCGATACCAGTGGGTATCCCGTTCGAAAGGGTTGCAATAGATCTTTTAGGTCCGTTCAGGAAATCAAAGTCGGGAAAAAATTGCATTGTTGTCGCAACAGACTACGTGACTCGGTGGGCCGAAACACAAGCATTACCTAGCGGAAAAGCGGGACCTGTGGCTAAGTTTATCATGGAGAGAATAATCACCCGTCACGGGGCCCCGAAATACCTTCTGAGTGACCAGGGCAAAGTTTTCCACTCAGAATTGGTTACAGAACTATTAAAAAGCGTCGGAACAACAAAACAGTTTACAACTGCATATCATCCATCCACCAACGGTTTGACGGAAAGATTCAATAAAACGCTGGCAGCATTACCTGCCGTTACGTTCGCCTACAATATATGTAAACAGAAAACCACGGGATTTTCACCCTTCATGCTAGTATACGGTCGAGAACCCACCTTACCCACGGAAGCTAATTTAATGGAGTTACCTAGTGAGCTAGACAGCCTGCAATTGAGAGACCAGGCTTTGGCAGTCCGCAACAAAGCCGCAGAAAATATACTACGGCAACAGAAAATCGATAAACTACGTTATGACGCGAAACACCGGCACGTAGAATATAACGAAGTGGATCAGGTGGAAGTCTTCACCCCCGTAAGAAAGATAGGAAGAAGCGAAAAATTACTCCTTAGATGGTTCGGGCCTTACTTCATTATTAAGAAGAAATCCGAAGTGGATTATGAAATTCAAAAAGGGCCATCAAAAAACGCGAAAAAGGAAGTAGTGCGCGTCAGCAGGATTTTACCGTATCACGACCAGTGGACCCCCGAAGCGACCCCCGTGAGGGAGGAAGCTTAGAAACGGACGAGCAATAGGAAATAAGTGTAAAAAAAAAAAAATCTGCAATATTAAATTACCAACGAAAATATGGACACCTGCGATCCGACGTTGATTTAATTTTTTCAATTATTTTATACACAAGCGAGGTGTATACAAAACAATAAAAAGTCAGTTTATTAACTCAACAGGTAGTTTGTAAATTAACATGACTTAGTGCGCGTTCATATTGACACCGCTCGAGCGGTGAGCGTTGCTCGATGCCGCTGTAGTATTGCCCAAAAATAATTTTTTACATTATATTTCAAATGAACTTGACCACACTAGAGCGGCGCGTCCCGCGGTGTTAACATGTTCACTCGAAATATAATGTTAAAATTATTTTTGGGCATCGCTACAGCGGTATCGCGCAACGCACACCGCTCGAGCGGTGCCAATGTGAACGCGCACTTAGTTATGTATATTCGAGATTGTTGGTACAACATAACAATAAAGTATACAAAACAAATATACCAAATCAATTAATGTGAAAATTTTTAAAATGATAATTTTTTATTTTTTTTTCAATTTTGTGTAGATCAATATTTTTAGTTAAGATTAACACTAAGGGTTAGATGTCAATATTTTTTATCTTCAGGATAAGTCTGCTAATATTATCATCCGTGAGATGTCAAGACGTCTATAATGTGGAAGTGGGCGCAGGGGCTTTTTGGAAGCCCTTACCCGACACAATTACCTACGAAGCAACGATTCCTCTGACGTACGAATCTTTATGGGAGGAAGAAATATTAGAAGAACCAATTCCATTCAGTACTCCATGTTATGGTACCGAAAGACCAGATCACTGTAACGTGATGAGGGGTATAAACGAGTTTTTCTCTACATTCACAAACGAGTTCAGACTATTACAGGAAGGTAGTAAAACCACTGCATTTACAAGGGCAAACAAAGTTCGAGTAAGGGGCAGGCGAGCTCTGAATTTCGTGGGAGATGCTTTTAATTGGTGTTGCGGTGTAGCCACGCAAGAAAAGCTTGATTTGGTTTCACGCGATGAAGGTCTTGTGTGGGAAAGAATGAGCGTGATTAACAAAGGCTTGGTTGAAGGCCTAAAGGCTATTGTCCAAAACTCATTTCCGGGACTATCTGTAACCGAGGCGTTTAAGAAAACGGAAGCCAAAATTAAATCAATCGAGAAAGGTATGTTTACCATAAAAAATAGGGTTGCCTCCGAAGTGTCCGATCAAAATTCACTATCCACGTCCCTATTATATGCGCAATATTCAAATTAAAAACGATTAATAATGCTTGGTCGAACAATCAGGAAACAAAATATCGTGGAATCCTGCAGACACCATAAAATTCCCATCGAAGTCATCAATCCGGAAATGTTAGAAAAGGATCTCAAGACTGTAAGAATGGAAATAATTCGGGAAAATCGGGATCTGGCACTTGGGGAAACAAACTTGGCAAAGTGTTTTGAGTTACCCATTTGTGACTGTTCCTTTACGGAGTCAAAATTATTCATCCATGTGAAAATTCCTATTGTCCAAGCAACTCATAAGTGGGAGTTATTCGAGCTTATTACGACACCCTTCGCCTGGTATAACCAGACCTGCGCCATTCCGCACCAATCGTTATATATCGCAGTTGCCACGAACTTTGCGACCGGAAAGGACCAAATAAGGCAAATTTCAGGGACGGGACTGCATCAGTGCAAGCCCTACCATGATAAACTATGCTATATTCCCAGATTTTCCGCAGACAGCCTCCAAGGGCCGGAATGCGCGAAAAAGCTGTACGAAGGTGCCACTGTTACAGAGTTGAGTCATTATTGTCCTATGAGCTGCCACCCTGGGACTTCTATGATTATCTCGGAAATAAGAGAGGAGCAGTACGTTATTACGCACCACAGGAAAAACAACCTAATTACGTGCGGATACAATAAAACAGTTGGAATCAACGATAGCTTCATCCATAAGGGTGCAGTTAAGCTACATTTACCGTGTCATTGTCAACTAGAAGTTGATAACAAAGTAATAATTCCTAGCAAATTCCCATGTCCAAGAGCAGGAAGTATCCCAAAGATAACACATGTTATTCCGGCTACATGGTCGAACCTAAAATCATTTGTAAAATGACAACAGTCTCCCGACATATAAGGATCTCAATAAATGTCTCAATTCTAATTGGAGCTTACATATCCCACATCTAAATTTAACTTCGACAAGGGACAATATGCAGGAGGTCTTAAGTTTTATGGGTAGTCAGAGATACACCCCAAATTTTAGCGATACCTGCGGCATGCACACGCACGCACTTTTCATGACCTGGAATATAGCTCTGTCGGCAATATTGGGATATGTCATTTTCCACAGAAATAAATATTTTGCGCTAGCTGTAGCACCAATTCCGGCATCGAATGCGAACATACATGAAGGAATAATTGATGTTGAGCACCAAATTATTTTTGGTATTTCTTGGATAATCTTCATTGGGATTCTTATGACGCTAATAGCCTATTACCTAATTCTTTGGTTTAAAAAAAAGCAAAGGGCAATGCCCAAACAGACGGAACAGGAAATGAAAACGTTCCTAACCGTAGAATCGAAAAAGTTTACTTTACACCTAAATGATGATCAGGACCTTCTTTCTTTAAACCCCGGCGAAAAATGAGATGTAATTATAGAATGTAGTGATTCAGCAGAAAACACCTAACCGTGCGTTCGTTATTTTGGTCCGAGTTCTCCGAGCTTGACTTTACCGTTCGTTTATTTAAAAAGTGTACTCGGTGCAGCCTCATTCGCGTTCGTTTATTAAAATTTCTGGCACTTTTATACAGCGTTCAACTGCTCTGTTCGCTCACTGGTCACGTGATTATGGCTCCGCTCGGCACGCTCTGCTCTTTGAGCAAAATACCGAACGCAAGGTAAATATAAGTAATTATTAGTTAAGTATTTAATATAGGCTGCGTATTTAAGTATAAATGTATTATTTCAAGCCATCTAACACCGGGGAAAAAAATATGTGAAGGAAAGACGGGCCTGAATAGTAATAAGAGGAATTTTCGCCTCTTTAATTAAGGAATTAATGTGTTAATTGTTATTTTGTAATTTTTTTTGAGAAGTCCCAGTCAGACATAATCGATAATCATAATGAAAAATAGTAAACAATGTGCGATGTGATGCCGTAGTAACGTAATAACTATTTGTAGTAAAAGTATTTTGTTTCAGCCAACGCAAGCATAATTACGTTATAGCATCAAGTAAGTAAACCAGGTCACTGGGACAATAATTATTGTTTTAATGAATGAATTTTTTTTAAAAAACGGATGGGCACTAACAAATTTATAGATGGATAAGTTTAAGGTACTACATTGTTACGACAAATTTATCATTTTCGTAACATGTTCCATCTCTTCTTTATTTCATTATACTTAAAGTTGTATTTTTTTTCATTTCAGAATTCAAAATAATTTCCAATATTCTAAAAATATCCATTAAATTCAAATTTAAATTCAAGTTATACAAGTGCTGCCATCTATCTACATTTGCGTAAAGTGCAAGTATCAAGAATAGATTTTTTAGTACTGCCATCTAGTGCGCGATGATCGATCTGATCTATATTTCAGAGTATGATTTCTTATTTCGCATTTTGGCAGTTATTTGTATTTTTTGAAAGAAATTATATTCATCTCACTTTTAGCAAATGGATATATTTCTGTCCTTTTTTACCTTCTGATTTTTAAATATTCATTTTTGGCTTAATGATCCAATTAATTAACAGTCTTTTATCTTTGACATAACCTTAATTTAAATTATTATAATTTGTAAACAATTAAAATAGTTTTAGTGGATTTTTATCTATTTTCGTTTATTCCATGCGGTCTTTTCATTTTGAAGTGAATATGGTCTTAGGAGTGTAGGTACTCGTTTGATTGGTTCAAACTGGCTGGAATGCAGTAAGTATAAAAAACACAGGTTCGTTTTCCTGCTAGCTTGGTTTTCTGAAACGTTCTCTTCTTGAAGAACACTCTGGCCAGGCAAGTCCTCCTTTTTTTTTTAAATAATTTTTGTGCTGTGAATTTCTCCCCTATGGATTTTTCAATATTCAGATTATCCTATCTTTATTAAGTTTTTACTGATAAACCTTATCTTATCTGTTTTTTGAAACATAAATATTATATTTTAAATTTTTTTTATCTAATTGTTGGCTTCTATTTTGTGTGAATTACTTTGCTTATTGGTTAGTGCCACGTTTTGTTATAATTGGTAAGTCAAGACAAGACAGTTTTTCGGTTTTAAATAGGTACTGCTGCTCTGGCTTTCAGAATCAATTTTTAGTGTGGGAAAACTGGACCATTTGCTCTAAATAGAGTCGGTGAAAACCAAATTTGTGATTCCATCCCCATTAATCCTTTATTGAATCCAGGCAGAGGCCTGAACAACCATTTTCTGCTTGACTCCCTAAATTATCTTATCTTATCTTATCTTAAATATCTTAACTAAAGGGTGTAATTTTTTAATAGAAATCCAGACAGGTCAAAAATTCAGTTTAAAAGTTTTAATTAAAACATCTCAAGAATTTTGACACGTTCTGGGTTTGATTAATTTCAGCCCTAGGTTTATCTCGAGGTTTATCTAGTATCTATGGTAACTAACTTAATTCGAGCTAAGAATTTTGTCTATTTGGGGAGGAATCCAGACATTTGATATCTTAATTTTTTTTTCTTACCTGATTTTTGCTCATATTTTTGCCGGCCAGAGCTGTTTTCAAGGAAGCAGCATTTTGCTCGATTGTAACGAGCATTCTAATTTATTCTTGTTATTACCTTATTTTTTTTCTATTATCTTACGATTGATTTTAATTATTCAAGTACCTAATTGTTTTTTTTTATAATAAAATTTAATTTTTTTTAACTTGCAATAACTGTTCATACCTGATTCTGTTGGAAGGGAGTGTCTGTATAACAATCATTTTGTACTAAATTTCAATTTCAATGTCCTTTGCAAGACACTCACTCTTTCGACAGAATTCAGGGATTTAATATTCCAAATATTGGTGAACCTGATACTGCCTTATTCTTTTCTGGGTACCTACTCTGCATAAAGATCACTCTTTGGAGTCTGGATCAGCTGGAGTGACGTCACCCCAGCAATCAATCCTCTTCCTGGATTCAGGTAACAATACGAAAAGCTCCAGTTCACGAAAGTGAAACCCCAACACCCCTTGAAGAGCTTCGGATTGGAAAGCAGGTACTTGGTATCAGATTCACCAGAAAGACCAAGCTGTTGGCAGTGACATTTTAAATAACATTGTATGTAATTAAATAAAATTATTGCTTGTTGGATTTTTGAGTAATTTCATTTGCACATAAAGGGACTACACGTTATCTTTATTTTGCCTTTGAATTCACGACCCTAGGTTATCTTTTCCTTAAAGTATACAAAGCTTAGGTTCATTTGTAACAACATAACCATAGAGATTATAGTTATTGGAAATTTTCTGGCCCCATTAATAGTTGTTTAGGTAAAATTTGTTATATTAGAGGTTGCAAGAACATTGACAGGAGATATCCGTACCGGAAGAAGATAATTGGAGTACTATGACAGAGCGGAACTGACGTTGATAAAAACATAGCCGCAGACCAATCAATTCCTTTGGTGTAAAAATTAAGTTTGGAAAAGGGGCGAATAGCTGGAGATTGCGGAAATTACAGATTAACTCGTATAAGCCAAGGCATTGCCCACCTAACGGTTAGAGCGGTCTAATAAAGACCACAACCTTTCCGGTCTACAAGGAGCTCGGGATACTAAGTGAAATACAAATGGTCGCACACGAAAAAGAGGCTGTTTGCGCACATCACTGGCAAGTTGACCAACGACCGGTATGGTTCCAGAACCAGCAATACCCCACAATCACCGATTTTCCAGCAGAACCCCAGAGAAATCCCCGAATTCAGCGCAAGGACACCACTTTATGGAACCAGGGTTGGCAAGGCTATGCATGTCATCAGAAGTTCAACTCTAAATAGCCAACGCCCAGAGAACTCAGAAGAAGAGCCAATACCATTCTACACGACGACGTCATCTCGTATATTTTTTGTATTAATTGTTTTCAACCTTATCGTCTAAAATATTGTATAAGATTTCTTTTTTCTTTTGTAAAGCTGGGCCCAGCTTTCTAAGCCCGGGGGATAT